AGAGCTTCCTTGCCTGGAAGCAGGTCCCCTGCCCTGAGGCACTTCTGAGCCCCTGCGTTCTCTCTATAACCAGCTCAGTCCATGCCTGTATTCCTTGGCTCTGCATTCTTTCCCAACTAACCCGGCCCACAAAAACCTGTGCAGACTAGCTCAGCTGCACCCACTGCCCTCCGCTCCAGACTTTTAGCCTAACCTAAGCATTCTAAGACCTAGGCTGCTGGAGGTCTGGGCTTCCAGCCTCCTGCTCCCTCTGGGTGCAAGCCACCAGTCAGCCACCTCCGCCAATTTATTACCCTTGGATAGATTCATCCGGGCTGTGAGTTTTTATCCCACCTCCTCTCTGTTCTGCCCCTCTGTCTTTACAGAGTAGGGGGAAAAATAAAACATACAGGGCTGTTAGAAATAACCATGGAACTTGTAACGTCCCCTGCCTTGAAATCGTGGGAAGTGTAATTTCATATTTGAGGCACAAGTGAATCAGAGTCTTTACCAGATTCCTTCCTCGTAATGACAAGACAGGAAAATGTTTTTCTTAAGTCTTGGTTTTCCATTTCTAAAATGCATATATAGATATAGACCACTGTGTTGCTGCGCACAGTGTTTCTTTCTGCTGTCCTTGGCTCTCTCTCCTGAGTCTCTCAGTAACAATTATGTGACAAGAGTTGAAGGCAAAAAAAAAAAAAAAAAAGTCATTGTGTCCACTCCAATCTAGAATATATCTAATTTGTAACATCCGCATACAGATTGAGTATGATGTACAGTCTATCAGGCTGCTTCTTTACCAAAGTTTGGAGTAGAATAAGGCAAGATGCAATGATTTATTGCTGTTCTGTAGTGACTTCAGTGTGCTAATTTCACAGCTGTAAATGAGTGGGAAGATAAAGGATGGGTGAGAAATATATATCTTTATTTAGAAAAGTGGAAGAGAACAACGTAGGAAAGGGAGTGTTGGAAAGGAGCGCAGGGTAATCCCAGATGCCCAGGCGGATCAACCTGAGGAGCACAGTGGACTGACTCAACGTCCGCCATGCCTACTGGGAAAGTCTTCAGGACACGCACAAGCTGCTCCTAACTCAGTTTCAGGAATGTAAACTTACTACAGGCCCTTTAGTGAGATCTCTTCTGTTTAATTACTAAAGGGATTTTTTACGACATGATTCTTTTAAAGGGAAAATTAAAAGGGATTATGAGAGGAAAGCATTGATCCTAGTGGCTAAGAAGTACATGTTTCACATTGGAGTCTCTAGGTTCAATTCACAGCTCCAGACTAGCTTCTTGCTAACACAGAGCCTGAAAGGCAGAAGTGATGGTTCAAGTCACTGAGTTCTTGCCACCAATGTGTGATGACTGGATTGCCTCCGTGGCTCCCAGTTTCATCCCTAGTCCAGTCCTGGCTGTTGTATGTATTTGAAAAATGAGCGGGAAGAATAGATTTCTCTCTCTCTCTCTGTCTCTGTCTCTCTCTCTGTCTCTCTCCATTTCAAATAAATAGGAGGGAACACAACTATAATTCAGATGTAATTGCATCAAGATGCAGCTGAATTTTATTGGAACTTGTCAATCCACTTGTGAAATTCATATGGAAATTAAAAGACTCAGAATTGACAAGGCAATCTTGTAAAAGAAAGCAGAGGAAATGGAGGGTGTAAACTTAGATAATTCAATTTATCCTAGAAGCATGACAGTGTAGCATAGGTACAAGTCTAGAAAAATAGGTCAGTTGAACAGAAACACATAAACGTCATCTGTAAGGTAACACTATGGTCCAGTGAAGGAAAGAATGCGATTTGTAAAATCTGGGGCTGCGCAGCTCTGTCAACTTGGAAAAAAATTATATCTTGACCTCAATCTTCTACTACACACAAAAATCAATTCCAGATGAATAATATATCCAAATGTGAAAGATATACAGAAGAAAACATTAAAATAATGTCTTCCATCACACTGAGGAAGGCAAAATATTTTAAACACAACAAAAATGTGTCGATAATAGAGGAATGAATGATGAATAGGACTATACTAAAATGAACTCTGTTCATCGAAAAAAAACTCTTAAGCTAGTTAGAGGGGCTGATGCTGTGGCATGGTGGGTAAAGCCAACGCCTGTGGTGCATTGATTCGAGTCCCAGCTGCTCCACTTCTGATCCAGCTCTCTGCTGTGGCCTGGGAAAGCAGTAGAAGATGGCCCCAGTCCTTGGGCCCCTGCACCCATGTGGGAGACCCAAAAGAAGCTCCTGACTCCTGACTACAGATCGGTGCAGCTCCAACCGGTGCAGCCGTTTGGGGAGTGAATCAGCAGATGGAAGATATCTCTTTCTCCTTCTTTCTATATCTCTGCAGTTCAAATAAATAAATCTAGAAAATAATGTTCAACTATGAGAAACGGTGACTTGATCAGCCCTCACCCTGACTGTTGATGAACAACTTAATATGTTATCCCTCTTAGTATTTTTTTTGTTTGTTCTACTTAATACTTTTGGTTGAATACTGTAATCAGTACACAGTTATTCTTTAAGTGCTGAAACTTAACTGAAAAGTGATCGCTGTTAAATATAAGAGTGGGAATAAGAGAGGGAAGAGATGTGCAATTCGGGACATGCTCAAGCTGACTTACCTCAAACGGTAGAGTTAGAAACATACCAGGGGATTCCAATTCAATCCCATCAAGGTGGCATGTACCAATGCCATCTCACTAGTCCCAGTGATCAATTTCAGTTCACAATTGATCATAATGATAGCTAAGAGTCAAAGGGATCTCATAAACAAGACTAGTGTCTGCAAATACTAACTGATAGAATAAAAAAGGGAGAGAACGATCCAACATGGGAAGCAAGATACACAGCAGACTCATAGAATGGCAGATGTCCTAAACAGCTCTCTGGCCTCAGAATCAGCCCTTAAGGCACACAGATCCAGCTGAAAAGCCCATGAGAGTATTTCAGGTATGGAAAGCCAAGACACTCTGAGAAAAAAAAAAAAAAAAAAAAAAAAACCCTAAATGAAAGATCTCTGTGAGTGAGATCCCAGTGGAAAGAACAGGTCATCAAAGAAGGAGGTACCTTTCTCTGAAGGGAGGAGAGAACTTCCACTCTGACTACAACCTTGTCTAAATATGATCAGAGTCGGTGAACTCAGGGGGCTTCCATAGCCTTGGCAGCTCATGACAAGAGCCTAGGGTGATTACGGATGCCATAAACAAGATGTCGATTTGTTAAGTCAACAACAGGAGTCACTGTGCACTTACTCCTCATGTAGGATCTCTGTCTTTAATGTGCTGTACATTGTGATTTAATGCTATAACTAGTACTGAAAAGTATTTTTCACTTTGTGTTTCTATGTGGGTGCAAACTGTTGAAATCTTTACTTACTATATACTAAACTGATCTTCTGTATATAAAGAGAATTGAAAATGAATCTTGATGTGAATGGAAGGGGAGAGGGAGTAGGAAAGGGGAGGGTTGCAGGTGGGAGGGAAGTTATGGGGGGGAAGCCATTGTAATCCATAAGCTGTACTTCAGAAATTTATATTCATTAAATAAAAGTTAAAAAAAAAAAGAAAAGAATGTTCATAATAGCAGAACTCTACCTGACAGCCCTCCAAGGATGATTTTCACATGTTTACCAATAATTTAAATAGATACATTGTGGTATATTTGTCATCTGAAATACAATACAGCCATGAAATTTGGTGAACATCAAGTTCAGGTCACAATATGGAAAATTCCATAAGCACTATATCGAGTAAATGAAGACAGACATCAAATAGCCAATATCTCATTATTCCTTTAAGCTCAAAAGCACCGAGAGTAAATTTTGGAGGTTGAAGTTGAAACAGCAGCTACCTCGGAAGAGGAAGAGAGAATCAGCCAGGGAAGCGGACAGGGAGGCGCTGCTGGTGTTCTACCAGGAAATGCTTACTTCTGCACCAGGGATGAGCCGGGTCTCCATGTCCATGTGATGGAAATTCACTGAGCTGTGCATTTATGACTTGGGGATGTTTTCATTTGAATGCCAAACATCAAAACAGCTTAGTCATTTTCTAAAATTCAAATACATATGGGAAGATTTGGATTGGTCTGCATTTCAAGTATTCAACATCCTTGCGTTGTCCAATTAGCCAAACCTGAAAATTTCTAATAAAGAAATTTTACTTGTATAGCTGACTAAAGTAATGTCATAAACATTTACCCTATATTTGCTATTAGTCCTTCATCTATAGAGTAGAAACTACAAAAATAATTCAAAGAGGGCTAGCAGTTCAATTGCAAAGATGAAACAGAAGTAAACTTTTGGTTGGCCAGCATTGTGCATGGTGGGTACAGCTCCTGCCTGCATGGCCAGTGTCCCATATTGGCTCCAGCTGCCCCACTTCCAACCCACAGCAACTACATGCTAGCAAATACAACTGAATGGATTTGCGTGAAATGTGAAATAAAATGTTTGTTAGCTCCATATTCTAAATTCTTTTGATGCTCTTATGTCCACTATTCTTATTTTTACAAAATAATTCTTAAACATAAAAAGCAGAGCAATTATCATGACGCCTTGCTAGTGAGGAAACCAGCTTGGAGGGAAAAGAGCGCAGCAGAGTGGGTAAGCCCTGGTCTCTTCAGGTCCCAGGTGAGTACTTCCACGTCTCTCTCACAGCTGCCAGAACAACACATGCGTTCGAGGTTCTTAATGAAGACACTGAGGGAAATAAAAAGGGAATAAACACCTAATATGGCCATACTCAGAACAGTTTCAATGTTGTTTGAAACCTCAGCAAGTACCTCCTAACTGCATTCCAAGCTTACAACGTGTGCACTCACAGCTCAAGGGAAGCTTTCCAGCCAAAGCAGCGCCCTGTGGTGCTTTCTCTCCAGCCCTGGCTCTTTCCAGGTTTGTTAGTGGGGGCAAGCCTTTCTTTGCTTCTGACTTAGATATGTTTCTACCACATTCTGATTTTATCAGAGAGGAACCAAATTATCCATACACAGGCACAAACTTAAAAAAGCAGCTGGTTTTAAAATGCTTTATTACATTGGTTTTAGTATCCTTAATAAATACAAGTAAAGTAACAATATGGTTTGGTCGTCAAGGAAATAATACATTTCTGAATCTTCACAAAATCGTCTACACGGTGTGCAGACTAGAACTCGTTATGGTTTCATTTCTTCATGCGCACCCACCGTAAGCAGGAGGGTGCGGCTGCTCTGCAGTCTGAATGCACAGGGCAAACTAAACCTTCAAAGCGAAGCCCAAGCTAACTGCAGTCAAACACCACCTGGAAGACCAGAGGCGTAGAATGGCATTATGGGAAAGCTCACAGTCGTTCAAGTTCAGGGCTACTCACGTCCACATTTTCACATTGAAATTACAAGGAAATTCACATTCAGTTAACTTACAAGGAAATTAGACACGCTTCAGAAACAGTAACCTCTATATTTAGAGCCCCAACCCAGACAGTTATTTGTAGTCTTCTCAAAAAACTTTGTGTTAGGTGGTTATTTTTCCTGAAAATTTTATAACCTATTTTAATAATTCAAAAATGAGAGTTACATTTGTTTATATAGTCAGCTTAACAGAAAGGTAGTTAACTTGAGTTTTTGAGTAGGAATGAAGGGAGGTATTTAACGGCTTCACTTTTTTTTAAAAGCACTACTGTATAGGGAAAACGGGTTTCGAACAGTGAACATAAATACAGATACCAGTCCTACAACGACACCGCCAGCCGACTCGCCTTTGTCGATCAGTTGTTTTCCTGCATTAAAGCAGACTTCACAGCGGCCACGATGTGTCCGGCGCTGATTCCAAACGCATCCAGCAGCTCCCTGGGCCTCCCGCTGCGAGGCACGCCCGACACCGCCAGCAGGTGCACGCGGACGGCAGGCTCCCTGGCGACGGCCGCACACACCGCCTCTCCGAGGCCGCCCTCGCGGTAGTGATCCTCCACGGTGACCACCCGGCCTCCCGTGGCTCCGGCGCTGGAGATGATGGTGGCGGCGTCCAGGGGTTTGACGGTGAAGAGGTCAATGACCCGGACGGAAACCCCTTCTTGAGAAAGCTCCTCGGCGGCCGCTAAGGCCTCGTGCAGGGTGACCCCAGCTCCGACCACCGTGACCTTGTCATCGGCGCTGTGGCGGACGACCTTGGCCTGTCCAATCTCGAAGCGCTCCTGCGCGGCGTAGATGACCGCGGTGTCCGGGCGGCTGGTGCGGATGAAGCACATCCCTTTGGCCTTGGCCGCCAGGTGCACGGCGTGCTCCGTGGACACGGCGTCGCTGGGGTAGAAGACGGTGCAGCCGGGGACGCTCCGGAACATGGCCAGGTCCTCCAGCGCCATCTGGGAGGGCCCGTCTTCCCCCACGGACACGCCGCAGTGCGAACCCACAAGGTTGATGTTGGCTTGCGAGATGGCCGCCATCCTGATCTGATCGAAGGCTCGCGTCAGGAAGGCGCCAAAGGTGCAGGCGAACGCGACAGCCCGGCCCCGCGCGGCGCAGCCCAAGGCCACGCTCACCATGTTCTGCTCCGCCACGAAGCACTCGACGAAGCGCTCCGGGTGCTCCTGCTTGAAGAGGTCGGAAAAGGTGGAGTTCTGCGTGTCGCCGTCCAGGACGACCACCCTGTCGTTGGCACGGCCCAGTTTGGCCAGAGCCAAGCCACACGCCTTCCGGGTGGACATCTGGTCGCCGACCCGGTAAGCGGGCGGGGAGGGCATCCGGATGTCCGCGATGCTGACGGGCGGGGAGTCCTCCACGGGGGGCCGGGGGCTGCAGGGGCCCTGCGTCTGCATCTGACTCTCCAGGCGCGCGATGGCCGCCTCGGCCGCTTCCCTGGGCAGCGCTTTCCCGTGCCAGCTGCCGGCGTCTTCCACGCTCGGAACGCCCCGGCCCTTGAAGGTCTTGGCGACGACGGCCGTGGGCTTGTCCTGCACCTGACTCGCGCGCCGGAAGGCCCGGCACAAGGCTTCCACGTCGTGCCCGTCCACCAGGCAGGTGTTCCAGCCGAAGGCCTCGAGGCGCCGCGCGTACGCGTCGGTGCGGTGCCCCAGGGCCGTGGCGCCGCTCTGCCCCCAGCGGTTCACGTCCAGCACGGCCACCAGGTTGTCCAGGCGGTAGTGCGAGGCGAAGGCCAGCGCCTCCCACACCGAGCCCTCCGCCGTCTCCCCGTCGCCCAGCAGGCAGAACACGCGGTAGCTGGCCCGGTCCAGGTACTTGCCAGCGTAGGCCATGCCGCACGCGGCGCCCAGGCCCTGCCCGAGGGAGCCGGTGGCCACGTCCACGAAGGGCAGCCGCGGCGTGGGGTGCCCCTCCAGGGCGCAGTGCGCCTGCCGCAGGCGCAGCAGCTCCGCCTCGCCCACGGCGCCCGCCTCGGCCCAGGCGGCGTAGAGCAGCGGCGCGGCGTGGCCCTTGGACAGGACGAAGCGGTCGTTGTCCGGGTGCGCGGGCTCCGCCGGCTTGTACCTCATCGTGTGGAAGAACAGCACGGCCGCGATCTCGGCCGCGCTGCAGCACGACGTGGGGTGGCCGGAGCCGCAGGCGCACGTGGCCCTCAGCGAGCGGACCCGCAGGCGGCTGGCCGCGTCCCGCAGCGCCTGCACCGTGCCCGCATCCGGCGCGGCGTCGCGGGCGGCGGCCATGGCGGCGCCCTCGGCGGTTCCCGCACAGCGAAGGCCGTTGGGGCGCTCCGTCACGTGACCGCCGCGTCCTCGCCCCGCCCCCTGAGGGCGGAGCCCAGCGACCATAGGGCAATCGCAGCTCGAGCCCCGCCCCCTCATCAGCGCGTGCGCAGACCTTCACACTGCGTCTCCCTCCGCGTCTATTAATATTAATATATTAATATATTCAAAAAGAAGATAATTATTTTTCCCTTTCTATTTTTTAAACTTTTTATTAAAATTTAGCAGACATAAAAGTGTGCATATTTATAGGGCGTAAAGTAATCTTTTGCTGCATATGTACATTGCAAAGTGTTCAATTAGGGTAAACCTATCAAAAAAACAGTATTGCATTTGTGTTATGGGGAAGTGTATGGTACATTATCTTTGCGATAGAAACTCAGAACTTTCTTTGATCTAGCTATAACTTAATGCACTTTTTAAAAATTCTATTTATTTACTTATTTGGAAGGCAGAGGGAAAAGTGGAGGTGGGGGGAGATGAAGAGGGGCAGGAAGGGAGAGCGAGCTTGGTCTGCCATCCGCCAGTTCACTCCCAGAAGCCTGCAATGGCAGGGGCTGCTTCAGGCCAGAGCCACGAGCTGGGAATGCCATCGGCTGTCCCACGTGGGTGGTGGGGCGAGGACTTGGGCCTTACCAGTCCATCAGCAGGGAGCCGGGCGGAAGAGAGGCAGCTGGGGCTCTGGCTGCGGCTGTGACTGGAGTGGGTGCTGACCTGGCAACCTGCTTCGCCAGCTGGGCCTTCAGCTCGGTACCCATGTCCAGCTTTTCCTTTTCTCCCCTCCTCCCTTCCCTCTCAGGCCCTTCAGCCTCTGTGAGATCACTGTTCTTTTTAGAATCCACACGAGTGAGACCACATGGCACTCGCCTTTCTGTAGTTGGCGTCATGCACGTGACATAATAGCCTCCAGGGCCTTCCATGTCGCTGTGAGTGACAAGATCCCAGTCTTTTTATGAATAAACAGTATTCCACTGTGTATATGGACCACATTTATTTTAATCCATTCATCACTGAATGGGCACTTTACTTTGTTTCCAATTTTTAGTTAATGCGAATAGTGCTGCAATAACCATGGGAGTGTAGCTGTCTCTTCAAAAGATTGATTTCATCTCCCTTGGGTATCTGCACAGTATTAGCATTGCTGTATGTTATGGCACTTTTATTTCCGTTTTTTGAGGAACCTCTGTACTATTTTCTACAATGGTTGCAGTGATTTACATTACTACCAGTAGTGATTATATATAAGGGGCTATTTATGAGGTCTTTTATGCAGTAACACTATAAATGAAATATCTTTGCTCTTTTATTTCAGAAAATTAGTAGAAAGGATCCACAATCACTTTTAATATAACCAATATCTCAACAGTCTTCAACAGAGCAACTAAAAATTCTGAATTTGAGACTTGAAAATAGAAAGACAATGACTACTTTGGACAAAAGCTACAGAAGAACAAGTCTGCAACCACTGAATGGCAGCATATCTAGAGCTGCAGTGTTCCTAGTGGGCCCTAAAGTACTGTTATCATGTAAAACTAACGGGGGGCTATTATATGAGACAGCTCCAGCTTCCTACCTGAGCACAAACAGAAGTCTAACTCAACAAAAACAATGAAATGAAACTTAAGATTACACAACCTGAAACCACCAGGGAACTTCTAACTGGGGAACTTTTCCATTCAAATGACCCAGATAAGGTTAGCGCCGAACTTTATCCAATAACATAATTTCTTTGCCTTTCTTCCATTTCCACCCTATAAAAATCTTCTCTAATGGCCTTTTGGGTGGATTTTGCAAGCTGCTTGTGGCCTGGAGCTGCCTGATTCATAAATTACTGAAAGCTCAAATGGACTCCGGTATATTAATGTGCTTCAGTTCATATTTTACAAATACAAACTGAGTTCTAAAATAATTTTTAAGACAAAAATTAACTTAGTTATAAAACTAAATTTGTGTCACAGCTTGTCATAAAAAAATAAAAAAATAAAAACCAAAAATGAAAGCCCAATGATAGTACATCATATTCTGCCACACTAAGTTAAATTTCTTGGTTCTTGAGCAATGATTTCTAACTTGGACTTCGCAATCCAATCACATACTTTATTTATTTGAGAGATAGAGTTGCAGAGAGAAGGAGAGACAGAGAGAAAGGTCTTCCATCTGCTAGTTCACTCCCCAATTGGCTGCAATGGCCAGAGCTGCGCCAGTCTGAAGCCAGGAGCCAGGAGCTTCTTCCGGGTCTCCCATGTGGGTGCAGGAGCCCAAGGACTTGGGCCATCTTCCACTGCTTTCCCAGGCCATAGCGGAGAGCTGGACTGGAAGAGGAGCAGCCAGGTCATGAATGGGTGGCTATATGGATGCCAGTGCCGCAGGCTGAGGTTAGCCTGTTACACTACAGCACCTGCCCCTGCGAGCACATACTTTGAAGAAAAACAGAGCAGTGCCTGCATTCTACCCAGACAAAGTTAATTCGAATTTCTGGAGCTGGAGTTTAGGATGCTACACTTCTAATGTATGTATTGATTTTAACCAAGGTCATGGTTAAGAACGGATAATCTAGGGATAAACTTAGGCTGATGGCTTTCAGTATTAGTGTATCTTAGAATCGCCTGGAAAAAATATCCTTCCCAGACTGAGTTCCATACCAGATAAATCAATTTCTTGGCTGGCGCCCTGGCTCACTAGGCTAATCCTCCGCCTGCGACGCCGGCACCCCGGGTTCTACTCCCAGTTGGGGCACCGGATTCTGTCCCGGTTGCTCCTCTTCCAGGCCAGCTCTCTGCTGTGGCCCGGGAGGGCAGTGGAGGATGGCCCAAGTGCTTGGGCCCTGCACCCGCATGGGAGACCAGGAGAAGCACCTGGCTCCTGGCTTTGGATCGGCGCAGCGCTGGCCATAGCAGCCATTTTGGGGGTGAACCAATGGAAAAGGAAGACCTTTCTCTCTCTCTCTCTCTCTCTCTCACTAACTCTGCCTGTCAAAAAAAAAAAAAAAATTTCAACTTCTGTGTGATGGATACAGGCAGTAATTTTCAGGTCTCCCTAGATGATTGCAGTCTTCAGCAGGGATGGTAAACACCCAGCTCAGGGACTGTTGTTATTCTTTATATTCGTTGTCTCTTGAATTGTATCTCAGGAAAATATGTAAGTAGCATGTGCTGTTTCAACTAGTTCTGTCATTTTAATTTTTAAGGATACATGTCACAATAAACAGTTTATGTGCTGCAGAAGCGAGCGCAGAAACAAGATTCTAAGCCTCGCTGAAGGAATGTTGGATGTGTACAGACCTCAAGAGGTCATCCTGTAGTCATCTCTCCCATGCACTTTGCAAATTAATGTTTCCTTATCTTTTCAGACAAAATGAGAGAACATACAAGTAGTCTACAGTAGAACTGGCAGTAGAGAAGGTGGAAATTAGAGGGGAAAAATAATCCCAGCTTCTTAATAGCAAGTTAGTAAGGGTTGACAGGGAAGCAGTTAATATAAACAAAGGTAGCTCACTATTGCTTTGGCTGGAGAGAGCTCTAATAAGTCCACATAACTAGTAAAACATGATAATATAAAAATTATCTACAATTCACTGTTCACATGGGAAAAAAAAGATGAGAGAAATAGGAATTACTTGACATTTCTGTCCAAGCTTCCAAATTCTTTTATTTATTTAAACTGTTGCACAACTATTTCCTAAAATATTAAATAGAAAACATTTTTAACATTAGTAAAGGTCAATTTTGTTAAGAAAAGAATGTGGTCTTGGATTTGATGTGAATGTGAATTTTTCTCCGTCATTCTTTGAGGTGGTGGATATTTTTGCACTATATACAAAATAATTTTTAAAGCATTTGTTAAGTATGAAGAGTTTTGATACTGTTTAAAGGGAAGGGTTGGAAGTTTTATATATGTAAGTTATATATATAAAAATATATATGCACATTATTAGTAATTAGTTTCTTTGAACATTTTAGCCTTTCAAAATATATCTTAAAATATGCAATTGACAATAATCATTTAAGTATAAAGTATGCATAAAAAATTTGGTAAAGAAAAATTACCCAATGTGGCTGTGAACAGAACTCAAATAAATCAAAACATGGCATTACCTTCTCGTTCTCCTATTTAGAATTAGAGACCATTACTGACAAAAGGCCAACCCAAAACTGTAAGCCAGCATGCCAAAAATGAAGTTGTGTTGGAGAAAAGTCCATTATTCATTTTGCAGATCAGTTTGGAAGCCAGTCAAATATTTCCTGCAAATAGAAAAAATTACTCTTTTATTAATCTTGGTTTATTTGCAGAAGTCGGGCATAGCAAACTCAAGTGCCTGTGCGGCTGGAGGTTGAGTAACATGAATGTGGGAACATTGAGGGTAATGTAAGAGGGCTGGAGGGGCTTGTGGCAAACTCAGGAATACAGCTCTGCTAAAGGCATTTGAAACTGAGAAGTGTGTGAACATTTTGTTGGACTAATAAAATAGACCTTCACGCTGCCCATTGTAAGCCCTGATTTAAAGCCTGTTTTAAAAACAACAAATTTCTTATTTTTCCTTCCTTAAATTTTCCACTGTAATTTTTATAGTATGGCATTTTGTGGTGTTTATTTTTATAGGACATATTTATTTTATAATATGTATTTATTGTACTGTGTACTTCTAATGGAAGCAAAACCTAGCAGGTAACTAATGAAAGTAGCTATGGAGGGGAAAATATAAATAGCAGGAATTGGAAGTACAATTTCTACTGGCTGCAGAGGAGAAAACATAACACACAATTACTGATTACTCAGGAAGTCTGTTCAATTTGGGAAAACATACATTTTCACTAGGTAAAGGTGAGTAACGCTGAGTGGAGCACTGAAGTTTTAATTACATCTCATCTGAGCTGTTGAGTTTTGTTAAAATGGAATGATAGAACATATACTAGTGCTGAATTCATCTTTTCTTCCCATTGATACAGAAAAAAAGTGTTATACCTTTCTGGATTGTTGTTTTGAAAATTATACCAGTTGTTATTGCTACCTC